TACTAGAATTCTTTTTCCTATTTTAGTTAGGATAGGTTTTCTTAGCCTTATTCTTATTCTAGTCTAATTAGGATTAGTTTTCCTTAACCTTACCAATTTTACTCATTGTAAGGCCTATTTAAAGGGCTTAATATGCTGAAAATAAACATTGGTGATTAGTTTTTCTAAGCTATTGCTTCAAAAACGTGATTTATTTTATATTTCGTTGTTCTTCCTTTATTCAACTCTTCTTGCAATCTTGCGGGATTGGGGAACGTGTGGGTGAGGTTTCTTTCCATCTTACATTCTTCTAACGTGAGTTTGAAGAACACTTTCGCTAGTTTTGTGAAAAACTTTAGCGGGGTACTTTTGTTTTTTCTCTCTTCTTTGTACTTGAGAGGTGCAAAACCTTGAAAGTACATCAATCTTCTTCGGATCAACCTGAATACCCTCGCTGGACACCACGTGCCCCAAGAAAGATACTGAACTGAGCCAGAACTCACATTTGGAGAACTTTGCATAAAGCTTCTCCTCCCTCAATCTCTGCAACACAACTCTCAAATGCTCCGCATGCTCCTCCTGACTACGAGAGAATACCAGAATATCATCAATGAAAACAATCACGAACGAGTCGAGATAAGGCCGAAACACGCTGTTCATCAAATGCATAAATGCTGCTGGGGCGTTGGTCAGCCCAAAATACATAACAAGGAACTCATAATGACCATATCTGGTCTTAAAGGCTGTCTTAAGAATATTCGAGTCCCCGATCTTCAATTGGTGATAACCTGAATGAAGATCAATCTTGCAGAACACTCTCGCTCCCTGAAGCTGGTCAAATAAATCGTCGATACGAGGTAAAGGATACTTGTTCTTTATTTTTATTTGTTCAATTGCCTGTAATCAATGCACATCCTCATTGTGCCATCCTTTTTCTTCACAAATAGAACAGGCGCACCCCAAGGCGACACACTAGGCCGAATGAGCCCCTTATCATAGAGTTCCTGAAGCTGCTCCTTCAACTCTTTCAGCTCCGCTGGTGCCATACGATATGGTGGAATTGAAATAGGCTGAGTGCCCAGCACCAGTCAATACCAAAATCAATATCCCTGTCCAGTGGCATGCTTGGCAGGTCTACAAGAAACACATCGGGAAAATCCCTCACAACTGGAACAAAATCAATGCTGGGAGTCTCTGCACTGACATCCCTAAAAATGCTAAGTATGAAAGACAACCCTTCCCAACCATCCGCTGGGCTTTCAGAAATGAAATCACCCTACTGGGAACATAATTGGTCGAACCTCGCCACTCAATCCGTGGCAACCCTGGCATAGCCAATGTCACTGTCTTAACATGAAAATCCAGAATAGCACGACACAAAGATAACCAGTCCATGGCCAATATCACATCAAAGTCGACCATACTGAGCAGCAAAATATCCACTCATGTGTCCAAAACCCCAATAGTCACTACACACGACCGATATTGTAACACCCCGTAGATTTGAATTAGTTATGGATGCATTAAATGAGTATTAATATTATGGTTATCAATTTATTATGATAATAAGTGTACGAGGAATATCATAGGTGATTTAGGGTCCAAGGAGAGACCTAAGTCTAAGCCAAGTTGGAAATTTACATGATAGACTAAAATCCCAAATGAGCACGCACAAAACCAAACTTTGGACGAGAATATCTACAGATATATATGGTTTTATGTGATGCAAAACCTATCAAATGAAATATTTTCGAGTCTAGTTTCTAACACTTCAGACCGTTCATCATTTGGACACTCCTACCAGAAGTTATGACCAATTTACCAAAAGCTGGCAGAATTTTACACTACCGCGCCGCCTCATGCGTCGCGGCTGCGTAGACTATCAGAACACCTCCAAATTTCATTCCTAGTCACATATTTCATTACCACGCCACCCCACGCGACGCCCCATGCATCGCCGCTGTGCAAATCTTGTTTTTTTCCAACCCGACCCTATTTTGATATAAAACCTTCGAGGGTTATTTTCCCCACTTCATTTGAATGAATTTTAGTGTTTTCCTCCACTCTCTCAAGACTTACAACCCCTCCCATATTCAAGGCAAGCAATCCTCATTATCTTTGTATGAATTCCATTATTTATACACTAGTATTGATGAAATCTACACATAAAATACTTAGATCTTCAAGAGATTTCTTCAAGAACTCAAAGGAGGATTTTGCAAGATTTCTTCCAAAAAGGTAATCCTACACCCTTAGACTTACATGTATGGATTTATTAAGGTAAATGAGTATGAATAAGTATTGGAACTCTTGGTATGGTGATTGGAAACCATAAGTTCCCAATTTAATTACACAACTATTATAGAGATTGAAAAATGTTTATTTAATGGAACTTTGTTGGTTAGGAGTGTTAAACCTTATGGGTGATAAAGAATAATATTGATTATAACCATTTGAGACTTTAGAATTTATCTAGGAGCAAGAGAATTGGTTATTGGGTGTAGAAACACCATTAGTAGGGATTATGAAACTTTATACTCACCAAGTGTTTGATAAAATGCCTAAGTGACCAAAACATGGGTATTGTTGCTAATTTGGAATCCCTTTGACTTGTATTGATATTGTTTAAAGTTGAAAGGGTTGGGAATGTTGTATTATGCTCAAGAGCAGGAAGTTAAGGTATGCGATGCTAACTCTCTATGTTTGGGAACGTTAATGATTCTCCCTACACTACGTTTCTTTTACGACGTTACTAATTGCCTCAAAAATAGAGTTTAGTCTAGTTCCTTGATTAGTTGTAGAACTTCTATTCTCAAGCTTCATAACTCGTTCATGACTTTCATTCTGAACGTTGTGAGCTTAGTGCGTATTCAATATAGACTTGGGTTTGATGCCCCCGAGTCTTAGTATAGATTACTCAGTATGCCCTAACAGTTAAAGTTTCAGTGTTCATAATTGATCGCAGCCAACTCTGCACCATTAATAAGT